ATTTCTAAAATGAGGCGGGTCCCATTTCTAAGATTCTAAGATAGTCGAAGGGAGATCCCTAAGGCTAGATCCTAAATCTTAAGAGAAAGACTAGACCTCACTAAAAATGAGGTCAACACCTTCCACCCCGCCTCTTGCAGGCCTCTAATCTTTGCCCACCGGATTTCTTGCTCGTCAAGTTTGTGTTGTCCTTCTTGTGTTGTGTATTTGCTTGTGTCTTGCACCGTTGCTTTGCGTGGTTATTCTATTTGCTTTGAGTCTTCATTGTAACCTTATTTAGAGTCAATAATAATATTCATATTTTAAAGGCATTGTTTGGGTCAACTCCGGCATCACTATCTTTAATGACTTGACTATAAGTCATATCAACACTTTTCTTTTTAAAAACTTATCAAAGGACTTCTCTTAGAATCTTATGGTAAGTTTTTTTAAAATCAATAAAAATCATATGTTGATTCTTCTTATTCTCTCTGTACTTCTCCATTAAATCACTAAAAATATGTCCGACATAAATCCAAACTGATTATGAGAAATCTTTGTATCACGTCCAAACCTATGTTCAACTACCCCCTTCTATGATTTTAAAGTATGACCCATTAATTTAATTCCTCTATCATTTGCACACTTTTGTGTATCCTTTTTATTCTTAAAACTTGAGACCAAAATAATTTTCCTCCACTCGTCAGGCATATTTTTAATTTTTAAAATAATATAAAGTTTAGAAAGTCAAAAAAATCTGAAATCTTCTAAATATTTCCACATTTCAATCGGGATATCATCAAGTTCTAGTGATTTTTCACCATTAATTTTCCTTAAAACCACTTCAACCTTCTTTTTATTAATGTGATGTTAAAAATAAAAAATATATATATATGGTTATATTAAAAAGTTAATAAAATATCTCACTCACTTATGTTGAATGTATTCCTTTAAGAAAAACTCTTTTTTATTTTTATGTTTGATACACTTTACTTGAATTAAATCTTTACTTTTATTTTCTCTTTGTTTGGCTAGTTTATACATATATTTTTCATTCTCTATAGTATTTAATTTATTATAAAATCACTAAAAGCAGAGTTCTTAGCGTCATAAATTATTTTCTTAGACTCCCGATGGGCTAGATTATATTTTCCCAGTTCTCTAAGATTTCACATTAAACTAATTTTTATAACATAATTTTCCATATTTTATCTTTTCTTTCACATTATTTTTCCACCTACAACTTTTTTTATTAATAAAAATTTTTTCTTTTGAATTTCTTAGTTCATATTTTGTCATTTGCTTAATAGTGCTTGTTATTTTATTTCATATATAATTAGCTTCTTCATTAACATCCCAAGTCTTGAAATCTTAAAGTTTACTCATAAAAATAATTGTGTCTTTTACTTAAAGTTTACTCATAAAAATAATTTTGTGTCTTTTAGGTGCTCTCATCTAATTTTATGATAATGTTTTACTGTGTTTTTTATCCTACAGTTCATCTTCTTAAAATCCAAAAATAATAATTGATAATGAGTATTTAGATTTTCACTTGGAATGATCTTAGAATCCTTACATTCTGAACTATATATTTTTCTCATAAAAAATTAATCCATGTGTTTTCTTAGATCTATCTTATATGTAATAATACGATCATCTCTTTTCTTAAATAAAATATTAGCAATTACAAAATTATAAGCTAAACAAAATCTAATATGATTATGCCTTCTTCATTAATCACTCGAAAACCGTAGTCATCATGAATATTTCTAAAAAATTCTACCACTTTTCCAACTTGTTCATTTAAATCTCTTTCAATAAATTTTCTTTTAAAAGGTATCATTTGCAATAATTCTTCTAGGTCATTCCAAAATTTATCTTTTGAATCTATATCTAAACCTATTTAAGCAATTTAAGCATTTATAATATTACAAATCTTAGTATCAACAACAATCTTTAGGACTATAGTTATATTTCAAATTCTATTATTTTTTATAACATTGTCTTTCAAACTCTTTTCTATAATTCAACCTACACCATTTCTTGTGCGACTCCTATTTGAATACTAAAATTTAAAACCTAAGCCATCCATCTCCTTAGCTTTTCTTCATTCCATTTAGTTTCTTGAATGCATAAGATATTTATCTTCCTATGAACCATATTATTTACTAATTCCGAAGTTCCTATAATCCAAGGTCATATCCTAATATTAGTTTTATGGACAAATTTTTTTACCCGCATTCATCCATAATATGGGATCACTTACTTAATTAACACCACACCCGGGAACCATTATAGCGGCCCTTGCACACTTTTCGCTATATTCAAGACATACGACACGTCATTTCCAGGCGATGTCTTAGCATTTACACAGTGATTTAAAAGATTCTTGTCATGATTTTTTAAAAAAAAAATTATGCTGACTGTTGCTACTTAACACTACCTTTCACTCTTCACATCTAAGATTTGAGATCCGGCAATGTCAACATTAATAATAGAAGAGAGTAATACAGATAAATGTTCTAAACAAAAATATGTGTAATGATAAAGATATATAATAATAATAATGATTATGGAGTAATGCTTTAAATAAATGCCGCATGTTCTAATATTTATATGACAACTAGTAATTCATTGACTCTTAATACATTAACAATTTATCTTGTTGGATTTGTTTTGAATGACTTCAAAATCTTTTCATATATTTTAGATGGCTTTGTCATCCTCATAATTTGATCACAGGTTATTAAAGATCGAATATGGAAAGATGTAATTTCTGCCTTCAACTTTCCATCAACAATTACAAATGCATCATTTGTTTTGAGAAAGTACTACATCTCTCTGCTTCAACATTATGAAGAAGTATACTTCTTCCGCAATAAAGTTGTAATAGACCCAATAACTGGTACCATCTCTTGCACTTTAATTTATTTATTGGTATTATTTGTTTGCTTGTTTGACATTACAAAGGTTTTCATTTTCTGCTGAAAACTATTTTTTCAGGTACAAATCATGGTACTCCTTCAGTATCAAAACCAAATCAGGTGGGAACTACTGGCACACATGGTACCAGTGGAAAACATTTAACAGGTTTGCCAAGGAGGTTTCTATTTCATTTGTGCTTGATATGCGATCCATTTTTTATTAGGCGCCTAAATTCTAAATACAAATGCAGATCCTTTATCTGGTGAGGTTCAAATCGACCAAGAACCATTAAAGCAACAAAATTCGACAAAGATAGCACAATTAAAGAATTCAACAGGACTTCATTTGCCAGGTTTTCTGTTGTCTTATTTTTTTCTTAACTCTTACTTTATTTATATACTAAAATTGCTTAAGCTACACGCAACAAAGTAGACACATCAGCCATCTATTTATATGTATATGTTGTATTTCTTATAGTAATGATGCCAGATTGCACACCTTTTTTTAGGGAAATAATAGTCTTATAATAGAGGAAATATTCGGTTGCTAATATGCAGGATATCCACCACTAGAAATAGGTTCTTGGTTGAGAGGGGAAATTACAGGAAAGTTTGAGAATGGATATCTAGTGACTGCCAGCTATGGTTCTGAAAAATTCACTGGCGTTCTGTATCATACTCATTGTGATGCTTCTCAGAGTCAGACCTTATCGTCTTCGTCTTCTGGTCAGCGGAGCAGGAAAAGGCCTTCCCAAGCAACGGAAGACCCTTTTCTTTCTAAATCAAATAGTTCCAATCTACATCTTGATCATGGTGTAAAAGTCAATCCTTCTTTGTCCACTGAAGAAAAGAAAATAAGCAAGCAGCTGGGAGATTTGTGGAATCGACTCACTCAACCAAGCAATGAGGTAATTTTAGAAAAGCACTCTAATCATTATATATATATATTTTATTCAAATCACTCAAACATGCTTGGTATAGAACGGATAAGGGTTTTGATTTCTAATGTAATTAGGATGATGCATTCGAGTGCAATTCACATAGAAAATTAGTCATCAGTGACTACGAAATACACAAAAAATTGCTTTTATCTGGTGCAAATCAGAAAATTTAATAATTTGAACTTAAATAATAATGCAATGACTTAGCAAGTAATTGAAATTCTTCACTACAAAATCAAGAGCTCTAGCATAATTACTTTCAAATATTTAGATGAAATAGACAAAACAAAAGAGTCATTAAATCTAGAAGATCCTGACCTTGCACTGGTAAAAGGAGACGACTTCTTCTAGAATTAAGTAGTTACACTTATATTGCGATAATCATACATCCATTTTCCACACAAAGTTGATAGTGGAACTATCAATTTTATTGAATCAAAAGCTCACTATTACATGCCTCTGGTATTGATCTTTATAGTCATATACTTTTCAGTTGGATCTCTCTCATTAATTTAACTTAATTTTCAAAATAATATCCAAATTTTGTTTATCAACAAATTTGGCATAAATGTGCTACGTGATGGATGATATAAATTCTCGCCACTAACTATATGCTTAAAACCACCCATGCTACAATAGAACTGACAAGATATTGAACAAGAATTTGATAAGCACCGGTAATAGAACCTGCCAAAGAAGCTGCAAAAGTAGAATCCGCAATGCATAAAATTGGAATTAGCTAAGCATCAACAGCAACAAAACCCATATATCCTTGAATATGAATTCTGTAATATTTTCAGTAGCATCGTTGTACCTTGAATGCATAACGATAACGACAATATAGCTAGAAGTTACACTGGCATTGTAGTTAGGATTCTTGCAAAATTTTAACTATAGGGGCCATTGCTAGTGTTCCCAAAATGAGAGACTACATCAATCTGCTTGACTTGGAAAAAAATGTTCTTGATGAATTTAGCATTTGATATTTATAAAGGAAATTAGAGTATAGATTTTTCACTTCATTTGAAGTAATCCACAAGTCTACACAAAAAGTTTAATAGGCCATTTTAGATACATTTAGAATCAACTGTCAGTATTAAATACAATTTCATCATATCTATAATCGATTTAGGACTAGGTTATATAAAATAAATTGTCTTGTAGAATGTCACTAGGTGGAGATGGAAAAAATGTGAAAAATCTAAGGAATTGGCAGCAGTTTCATGAAATATGAACAAACAAGACTAAAACTTGAAATAATTCCTTTTGAAAAAAATTGATTTGGAGATGTTAGCTTTAATAAAATGGTCTTGCCTTTATAACATTTAATTCCTCAAGGGTTTCTAAGGTAAGTTTATGTATCATTATTATATCACTTAGTTCAAATTTAATGTCTCCTATTGGCTTCAACAAAAAATTACAATTATCATAAATAATATTCCATATTTTTTAATGTCATGCGATTGAAGTTCAAGCAAATTATAAAATCATGTAAATGACCTATAATTCTCATAATCGAGAAACCATAATTTAGGAATATTCTCATACAATTTAAGCATATTCTTGTTGCATTTGGAACCTTCAACCTTCAAACATTGTGCATCAATTTAGCGTAAGAGCTTTAGAGAGAGTCGTCTTAGATGGTTTGTTCACATTAATTGTTGACCTTTTGATGATCCGATTAGAAGAATAGATGTTTTATATTCAAATTATGTTAAGAAAGGTAGCGGCAGACCTAGGATGACTTGGGCATATTGTATAAAAAATGATCTTAATTTACTCTAAATTAAATGAAAATATGACACTAAATAGGGCGCAATGGAGAAAAAGGATTCATGTAGCCGATCCCACTTAGTGGGATAAAGGTTTTGGTGTTGTTGTTGTTGTGAACTGAAAATGACTCGATATTAGGGGAGCTTAACAAATTGAAATAGAGATGAGATTTTTTATAACTTTGCAAAATAAATTCATTGAATTATTAGATTGAAAAAAATCAAATGTGTTTGAATACATTAATTTAATCGAAGCACAACTTTAAAATTTGGAAACTAATGGATTCCAATTATATTGAACTCATGAAATGATTCAGCTGGATGTTAATATTGATAGGAGACTACTAAATAATTGTGATATATATATTGTAGCGTAATAATTGAAAAAAAATTTGAAATCAATAATGTCGGTTTGAACAAAACCGTTCAGATGTTTTCCATCATTAGGAAATGGAGGGAATGATTTGTTTATTCCGAGGGAACATACGAGGAAATCGAGTGGTATCTTGTGTGTGTATGAGACGAAGCTAGAGGGAGGTGGAGACTTGTTCGCGTTCCAAAAAAGACACCTAATGCTAAAATTAAGTTTTGTGTTGGAAGCGGAGGGTGCGAGTGACGAATTATGAGTGGTATCACATGCAAAGGAAGAAAACTACTTTGATCAAGCTAGTGCATATGAACGTGGACATAGTGTCATCGTTGTGTGTATTCGGGAAATGAAGATCAGGGAGCTAATGCTGCTTACGATGTGTTCGTCTGTGGGTGGAGGAGTTTGTCCGTCTATGTGTAGAAGCCGTGTAGTGCAAACAAAGTATGCTAAGGAAGATAATGTAATGTTTAATTTTATTTCCACAGATGTTTAAATTATTTTAAGTTAACAAATATTATTAGGTAATTGTTTATTAATTGATATTAGGGAGTGGAAATTGTAGAACTTTATGAATTTAAGGCTTTGGAAAATTAAGATTGTTGAGTTTGCAAAAAGAAGAAAGAGGACTCGATGTTAGTGTATTCTAATTAATTTATATCTGTAATTACAGTCTAAAATAAGTTTTACATTTAACAGGAAATAAATAAAATTTTTATTCAAAGAGTAGGTTTGAAAGATATACAACAGGTTTGGGCTAAGAAATAAGCATTATCTCGATGAATGTAATTATTTTGAAATTCTAAAATTTAATTATTCATTGCTTTCTTTACGTTATAAAGTTAATTTGGAAATTTAATTGAGAATATCTAATAATTATTTCTTTTTAGATATAATAAATTATTATGGAAACTTAAACCTTGAGAAAGTTAAATTTGTATGTTATAAGAAAATGTTAGGAAGAATTTAACATAAAAGTTTATTTAGAAAATTTAGAATATAGACATTTAACTATATAGCTTACGATTTCAAGTGTTAAAATTAGGGAGCTTGAGGTTAAAAATTAAGTGATGTAAAAATTATCAAAAAGATCAAATGAGTAATTGTTGTTTTATATGTACTAAATTTCTTTTCCTTTATTTAAAAGTAGTTTTATTTTCAAAGAAAATAAAATCATAATGATATAGATAAACTAATCAGACATGTTGATATCGGCAAAAGGGTATGTGGACAAAATTTTGCAAGAAGATAAAGAGAAAATGTAAAGAGCAGAATTCGAAAACAAGAAATTGAAAATCAGAAAATATGGAAGAAGATATAAAAGAGATACACTAACAAATAAAAGATACAAAATACAAGAGACACCTGATGTCACCACCAAGAATGAAGTTGCCATCACATGACGTTGTGTATACAAGCACATTCCCATTTTGGAACCTATGGAGCCAAAGCTCACATCTTTCTACCTTATTCCAGAAGTCCCCTAATATAACACAAGTCCTCCTATTTATCATGAAACAAATGACCTAAATTTTTTTAAAAATAAACATACGAAAATATCCTTACTAATATATTAACCCACTTGATTTAATTGAATCGACCACATTTATTCCGAATCAAAATGAAGACTCTCCGTGTCATTCTCGGGTGGGAGGAGCTCCTTCATCTCCATTGAATCGATCTCTTCCAAGTGATCCCTTATGTAAAGAGGTTGCAATTACAAAATAAGCTATATTAACACCCTACTTTAGATACAACTATTTCACATTATTGTCATCACTTAGTAAACGAATCTATTTCAAGTTTTGGACACCTGAATTCTGAACATGGAGTAGGAACTCATCTGGATGGTAACGAGGCAACAAGAACCCGAATGAACTCACTTTTTCTTGATCCAATCTAATTATGAAAGTTCAGTAACCAGAGTTATAGGCCTATACTTCAATTCCTATGTACTTACATATCTAATACTATACTTCCATTTTTACATGCATACCACCTTACCAATGCATAAAAAGGGGTATTTCACTTTTTAAAAGTTAAACGGTAGTATTTTTGGTGTGATATGAAAGATTTGGGTGGTATAAATGTAAAAAAGTAAAGTTTAGGTGATAGATATGTAAATGGAAAGGAATTGGGTGATATTTATGTAACCGCCTGAAGCAGGAGAACCCCCTACTCTCGACGCGGGAGTCTCTTGAACGAAGCAGCGACCCGACTACTGTATTTGATTCGAACCAATTCAAGTTTTTTCCTTTTTGAGGTGTTGACCGGTCCCATAGAACCTCTTCTAGTTGTCCTATTATTATATATTTGCTTTCTTAGTGGTCTAAGATTAGTTTTTGCGTATCTGTCAAGACAACCGCTGACGTCTCTTTTCTACTTTTGAATGTTGTATCTAAGGGTTTGAGTGATGCTCTGGCTATATCTCTCCCTCGAGGTGGTGATTATCTTCCATATCCCCTTCCACATTCTCCTCACGTCTTTCCCGACCACCCTCCATTGTTTCATCCGCCCTCGAACAACCACACTTTGTTGTTTTTCCTTCAATTTTATGATTACAAAAACCTTTCCTCGTTGATGCCGTCCTTGACAGACGTCTTCTTATTATCTCGCCGCCCCACACATTCCTCGTTCATGCCGCCCCTGACAGACGCACTCTTGTTGTGCTGCTGCCCCCGCATTCCTCGTCGTTGTGGCCGACTTTCCCCTTCGCTGCAACCACCCTGAAACAGTTGCTCCCAATCGTTTTCTATTGTTCCGGCTGCTCATTCATCTGTTTTTCCCATTCCAGCTTGCTGCCATTGCCACAACTTCTCTTCGCTGAT